TTAAGTCATTAGCTAAACAGAAGTCCTCAGTTTATGCTAATGTTGTTTTGTCATAATGTCAGTCAGCCAGTCTTGCCAAATGACATTGTGGCAGTGAATTTCATTGTCATGAATCTGAGAGTGCTTTGGGCTTTCCTTGGCAAAGGGCAGAGGTGGGGTGTGTCTCTTATTCTCAAGGAGCTGCAAATTCAACATGGGCAACAGCTACAGAGCTTAGTAGCTTGTCTGTATCATTTCTCCTTGGGACAGCATTATACAGTGCATAGAGGTAACTCTAGAATTGCAGAAAACAAGAAAACCAAATGAGGCTATATGTTTTTTATACTTTTATAAAATATCTCTTCAGTCTCCAACTATTGGTTATTCTTTTCTTTTTCCTTTTTTTTCTTTCTTCCTTTCTTCTTTTTTTCTTATAATTGTCAGTAAGAAAGAGAAGGTAGTGTGGTGTAATGGATAAAGTCAGTGGCTCTGGATTCAGAGAACCTGGATTCATATCCATCCTCTGATACTTTACTTTTGTGTGACCTTGGCCAAGTTACTATTCCTCACCCTCTTCATCCATAAATGAAGAAGTTGTACCAGGTGGCCTCTGAGATCTCTTTGAGCTATCCAACTATGATCTAATGTTGGCTGCCATCTTTTTTCTAAAATTCCTGAGATATCTTTTCCTTCCTGTTATTATCTTGCTACGTGAAAAAAATAAAACTCTTGTTTAAAGAGAATCTTAAGTATTACCTAGTTAAACCTCTTTATTTTACAAATGGGAAAACTGTGCTTCAGAAACATAGTCACTTAGCAGAATTCACATTGCTGTTCTGTGATAGAGCTCTAATTATGGCCCAGGTTATCTAGCTCTTAATTATAGATTCTTTCTACTACAACACTCTGTCTCTCCTGTGTTAAAGCACTATTGTATTCAAATCCTACCTCAGACGTTTAGGAACTGTGTAACCATGGGCAGATCCCTCAATATAGCTGGGCCTTAGTTTTCTCATCCAGAAAGCAAGGGACAGTTATACCTGCAGTGCTTACTTTGATGTGAAGGTGAAATGAAATAATGTTCGTTAAATATTTGTAAACCTTCAAGCACAGTATAACTGTCAACTCCTATTATTGTTTTGAAAGGGTTGGCAGTACATTAAATTACTGTCTTATTCCATTTTATTGTACTGGTGAAGCTCTTGTCTCTAGTAGCCTGTTGTAGGCTCATCCACAAGGGTGAAGGTCAAGAACCTGGACTAGAAGTCAAAAGACCTCTTTTAGTTTTAATTACCCCCTCTTTTCTGTCAAAAAAAGCCATGCCACTAAACCCTTTTTAGCCTGAGTTTCCTACTGTCTCTATAAAATGGGAATGATAGTATCTACCCTGCCTCCGTCATAGGATTGTTCTGAAGAGCAGCTGAAATCGTGCTCATGGAAAGTGCTTTGAAAAAGGGTTGGTATATGACCAGTGTGCCTAATTATTTTACTGCTTGCCTATACTTACATGTTACAGGTAAGAGTGCCTGTTTGGGTTGCAAAGCTAGGCTAGTGGGTAGTTATAGAGATGCAATTTTTAAAAAGAGCATCAATAAAAATTAAAAAAGGGAAGTGAAAAGATACTCGGAAGGGACAAAAAAAAAGTCAGGGCAATGTTACTACTATGTTAAATTCAATATACACTTTAAAAAATAAACTGCATCACAGCAACTTATGATTTTATGTGCAATCTTTTTGTTATTTTATACTAAAATGTGTATTTTGGTGATGATTGTTAAGTTCATCACAAAAGTAAATTAGAACAACTCATGTTGGCCTGTGCAAGTAAGGTTATTATCTTAACTGGTCAGATCATGAACACCTTACTTGGTATTGCTCTGGTTAATTAAATATTCTAGCTGTTATTAATCAGTATTCTGGTTAACTCAGTATTCTAGTTAATAGTTATTAGCAATATTCAGAAAGTGACAGCAAAGTAAAACATACTCAACAATAAAACTTTATTGAACCACACTTCATTTTATTAAGGACTTGTGGTTTCTTCTGTATGGTAACTCCTTCCAACTTAGTGAGATGCCTGAGGCAGTGTCGTAATTGTGTAGCTAGCAAAATGTCAGAAGCAGAACCCAGGGCTTGCTACCTCCTAGGACAGCTCTGTCTTCATCTCTATGCTGCTTCTCTATGCTGAGTATTATTTTTCCTCAGCAATTCAAGGAAGCCACATAGAATGATGCAAAAACTTAACGGCACAGCTATGAACATCAGTTTTCATTGTGTTCCCAAAGTACAAATACAGTTAGCACTGTTGGACGGTATGTAGGGTAACAGAACAATTATTATGTTAGCAAACAGCTCCCAAATTTATCGTTTAGCAAATGAATCATTTTCTTGTTCATTCGTTGTGTTTTCTTCTGGATTATTGATTTAGAGCCAGGAGATCCTGAAGGGTCATCTGGTACAGCCTCTCATTTCATAAATGAGGAAACTGAGGCTCAGAGACTTTAGCCAGTTGGCCCAATGACACATACAGAGAGTAAGCAACAGAGCTGGCATTCCAATCCAATTCCACTATTACAACTGCTTTCTCCAAAGCAGTTTCTACAGTATATATACCCACTGTGTGACTATTTGAACATAAATTGCATAAATAAATGACTTCAGTACTTTGTAGCCCAGTATATATAGTGCTGGACTTAGAGTCAGGAAGGCCTGGATTCAAATATTGCCTCTGACTTTTAATGTCTGTGTGACCATGAGCAAATCCCTTAATCTCTCTGAGTCTCAGGTAACTCTTTAAGACTTGTACTAACTCCTAGATACTTGTGGTCTTTATGACTAGAGGAAGTTCTCAAATTTTAGAACAATGTGTAAATGTCCATTATCTGTATCCTCTTTGATGTGGGTCTTTCCACAACCTCAAGTAAGAGAACTAGTTATAACGAGAGGGAACCAAGACCCTTGAGTTAAAATTCTTCCTTTTATAAGACCAATGGGTGTTTACTAGCATATGTGATATTAGGGTATGAAACCTTGGCTAGGACAGTCCTAAGCAGGTTCTAGGACCTGCTACATCAATTTCCGGTGTGTCTTAGAACCAGCTCCTACACCTTCTAAGCACTGCAGAGTTTCAAAGGTTCTGATCCTTTTTTCTATCATCAGCCTGGGGAAGCCTATAGAGCCCTTTCTTAGAAAAATATTTTTAAATAGGAAGGGTAAGAAAGAAGCATTTATATAGTGCCTACTATGTACCAGGCCAATGTTAAGTGCTTTTTACAAATTAATATTTTACAGTTGAAAAAACAGGTAAACAGATTAAGTAACCAGCCCAGGGTTATAGAGCTATTAGGTATGTGAGGCCAAATTTGAACTCAGATCGTCTTGACTGTAGGCACAGTATTCTGTCTGCTACAATACCAACTGCCTTCCTAAAGGGCATAAAATAAAATACATAGGATTACAAAGAAAATCAATTAAACTGAAGTACAGTTATAAAAAAAAAATTTCTTAAGTTCATTGACCCCAGGTTAAGAACCGTTGCTAAGGTAGGAGTGTGTGTGTGTGTGTGTGTGTGTGTGTGTGTGTGTGTGATGAAGAAAAGTAGGTTAGCAGAGAACACTCACATTTTGCCATCATCCTTTTTTGTCTTCTCCCTGAAATCATCTCTTTTTCCTTGAAAAAGTTAATCTGAACAGTCAGCTTGGACGTTGGACAATGGTGGGTTTCGGTAACCTAAGGGCACTGCTACCAGCACTCAGTTGTGAAAAGTGCAGTAGGATCTGCCTAACCAGAGAAGAGAAGGGTCAGAGCAGGTCACTTAGAACTCCTAAAATTGTAGGGGATAAATCAATCAATCAACAACAAGCATTTTATAAAACTCCTACTGTGTGACAGGTCCTAAGGATATTCGCTTACCAAATAGAGGAAGTAAAGAGAAGTTAGCAATGTCATCATCTTACTTTCCTACAAAGAACCTAAAGTATTTTGAGAGAAAAGCAGGGTATTTTATTTTTATTTAAATCAATTTAATGTTTTCTGAATGAAAATATACATTTCTGGAACTCAGTTACCTTAGTTCTTAATAAATTTCATGCGTGAAGAATAAAGTACATTTATACCCAATTCTAGTAACAAGAAAGACTTGATGACTATTACTATCAGCTTGTAGAGGAGCTTAATAATATTGAATTTAGAAAGGGCAAAAATCAACCAACACTTACACTTTGTTTTTCTTAACTGTTAAATATCTATAGACATATTCATGATGGGCAGTGTAGATTTGATTTACATCTAATCATTAGTAAAGAAGACTCAATTTAATCAATTTTTTCAGTAGCAGAATTTGTTTGAAGCCTTAATCTCTATTTTTCACAACTCATTTCATTTTTAACAAACTCTAAGTAATGGAGATGGGTTCTCTTTCTATTTTACTTTGTGTCTAGAAATGCTTATTTTCTGTAGTGTTAAATTCAAAATAAAAACTAATCATTTAAAAAAGTCATTTCCTTTTTCAATCCTATTCCTGGAAATTAAAATTTAACAAAGAGATAAAGTTTGGTTCTGTCTGTGGACATGATTTACAAGAAATAGCAGAGGTTATAAGCCAGTTCTTTCCTGTCTACATGTGCTGTATGTGCTCTTAGTTACCCAGACCCTGTAGTCACAAATATACCGCAAGAGTGAAAGCCAAACCTCTCTTTGATGTTTACTGGGATCTTATAGAATGCTAACAATATTAGTTTTCTGTAATCTTTCCAAATAATCCATAGAGGAAGTTCAAGGATGTCAATGAGTCTGGGTTTCTACATAGCCTGTTTTGACAACTAAAAAATGTTTCAAAGAAAGTTTATACCTATCTCTATCATGTCCTACGTATCCATGTTAAGTATTTTACTTTTGGCATGTCTAAAATTAAAATTCCAAGTTACTTCCCACAGTCAATTTTTAAATAACATGCACATGATTAATATACTTTTCTAAACATCAAATTGCCTTTTTAAAAGTAATTTTTCTCACCCTATTAGGCCTTCAAAAATGAAATGGCTTATCTGTTGATTGAGATTCTTGGAGCAGTAGTAGAATATTGGATATTTCTTGGTCTTAAGAAGGACAGAAATGTGATACAACATATGTCTGCTCTAGGAAATTATGTTGCTGTTTCTTGTGATGGTGAGTATGTCTTTGGATAGATCGTTGATTATTTTCAGCCTTATTCAAGGAATTAGTTTTATGTTTTTTGTTTAACATTTAGCAGATATTTGTGATATTTTGCCAATTACGTCATCTTTCTGTTTCTAATTCCTATTAAACTACTAATAGTGATAAAGCATCACTAATAGTGATAAAGTATATTTTAGTTTACAAAGCATTTTTTTTACATTTTGACGTAATTTATTTTAAATCACATGGAAAAAATGCTATTTTATAGCTTATAATGAGTATTGGACAAAGCATGAAATCCAACTAGTGCATTGCTGCCTAAAAATTCCAGTCAGCATCTGGCTTGCAAAAAGGATCCCACATTTAATTGTGAGTCGAGATTTCTCTTTGACTTTGGGCAGATTTTTTTTAGATTTTATTTTTTAAATTCAATTTTATTTTATTTTCAGTTTCAAATTCTCTCTCTCCCCTTCCTTATTGTTAGTCAGTAGTTTTTCAGTCATGCCTGACTCTTATGACCCCATTTAGGGTTTTTTTGGCAACGATACTAGAATAGTTCCTTCTCCAGGTCATTTTACAAATGAGGAAATGAGGCAAACAGGATTAAATGACTTGCCCAGGGTCACACAGCTAATATGTGTCTGAGGACAGATTTGAATTCAGTTCTTCCTGATTCCAGCCTTGGTGCTATAGTCACTGTGGCATCTAGCTGCTTTTCCCCCTCCCCTACTCCCATCCATTGAGAAAGCAAGACAAACATGTATTGTTGTGCAAAACAAATTTCCTGAATTAACTGTGTCCAAAAAAAAAAAAGAAAATGTGTTTTGGTTTGTACTCCAGAGCCTCTCTGTTCTCTATCAGAAGGTAGGTCTATTTCATCATGAGTCCTTTGTACTTGCAGTTGGTTATTGTGTTGATCAGAGTTTCTAAGTCATTCAAAATTGAACTGTATAATATTACTGTTATTGTATAAGTTATTCTTCTGGTTCTGCTCACTTTACCTTGTGTCAGTTCATACAAGTCTTTCCAGGTTTTTCTGAAGCCATCCCCCTGGTCATTCTTTATAGCACAATAGTTTTCCATTGCATTCATCTGCCATTCTCCAGTTCAGCCATTCTCCAATTGATGGGCATGCCTTCAGTCTCCAGTTCTTTGCCTCCACAGAAAAAGCTGCTATAAATATTTTTATACATATGGTTCCTTTTCCTTGTTCTTTAATCTCTTTGAGGTATAGACCCAGTAGCCGTTATAAAGCATTTTCACAAGGAACAGTAATCCTTCAAGGTAAACAGTGCAAGTAATCCCCATTTCACAAATAAAGAAATTGAGGCTAAGCAGTGTTAAATAGCTTGCCGTAGTCACATGGCTTAGTGACAAAGCCATCCTATAATCCTGGGTCTTAACTTTATTTCCATTCCAAATTTAATCACTTGTCTGTGTTTTTAAAATGTAATTTAGGTTTTTTATTTTGAATACAGATTGTTCAATATGAAAATGATACTTTGATAGAAAAAATGCTACATTGTACAAAGTAAAGGACTCCGTAGTGTCTTAAAAGTCTTTCTTGTATGGAACAATTTAGTCCATCATTGTCTGCTTATCTCTACTTATTCTAATAGCAGAATAAATCATTTTAATAAATTTTCCTTCATCCTGTGAAAGAAAAGAGAACAGAATGGCCAGTAATTAAGGATGTATTAGCTCTTTCAGACTCCTAGGCTAGAACAGGTTGTACAGGTAAAAGTTAAGCTATATTAGTCTAAAGTCTGATCCAACCACTCCTTTTCCTTGGAAGATTAGTCTCATTAAATATTACCAAATTTTATGAGGATTTCTGAAATTTGACTGTCTTTTTTTGCTGTTCATTATCTTAGTAATGGTTATTTTATTTGCTGTAAGCATTGTAGAACTTCTAGTATTAAGAACTGTCTTCTCAAAGCTTTTTAAAAACTCATTTAAAGTAGAGGTTGGTACAGATTTTACTCCATCCTCACCAACATCATGTCGACTTTCAAGTCTCCTATGCAAAATCATTGAATGACATTTTATATTGCCATATATATTATATCACTAGTTAAATCATATTATCTGCTTATATAATACATCTCCTTTTTATATATCCTAGAAAACCTATGTTAGTATTACATTTTCTCTTAACAGTGATATTTTCCCCATTTTTAAATTTTTTGTTCATTTAGTATTTTATTTTTCCCCAATTAAGCATAAAAACAATTTTTAACATTTTTTTTAAATGTTGAGTTGCGGGTCAGGTAGGTGGCGCAGTGGTTAGTGCATTGGCCCTAGAGTCAGGAGAACCTGAGTTCAACTTCAGCCTCCGATACTTACTAGCTGTGGGAACCTGGACAAGTCACTTAACCCCATTACCTCCAAAAAAAAGAAAAGAAAATGTTAAATTTTGAGTTCCATATTCTCTCTCTTCTTTTTCTACCTCCCTCCATTGAGAAGACAAGCCACTTGATATGTTATACATGTGCAGGCATGTAAAATATATTTCCGTATTGGTCATGTTGTAAAATAAAACAGAGGCTGAAAAAAGAAAGATAAGTAATATTTTTTAAAAGTGTGCTTTGAAGGGCAGCTAGGTGCAGTGGATAGAGCACTGGCCCTGTATTCAGGAGGACCTGAGTTTAAATGCGGCCTCAGGCATGTAACACTTACTAGCTGTGTGACTCTGGGCAAGCCACTTAACCCCATTGCCTAGCGCCCCCCCCCCCAAAAAAAATAGGCTTTGATCTACATTCAAACTCAAGCAGTTCTTTTTCTGGAGAAGGGTAGCATTTCTCATCATAAGTCCTTAGAATTTATCTTTGATCATTGTGTTGCTGAGATTAGCTAAGTCATTAGCAGGTGATCATTGTACAATATTGCTATTACTCTATACAATGTTTTTCTCTGGTTCTGCTTATTTCATTTTGCATCAGTTCATGTAAGTCTTTCCAGGTTTTTCCAAGAGCATCCTGCTCATCATTTCTTATAGCACACTAGTATTCCATCATAATCATGTTCCACAACTTGTTCAGCCATTCTTTGCCACTAATAAAAGGGTCTCCTTTCAACCCTATCCATCCTCAAAAATGTTTTGCTTCTAACTATTGCCTCCTCCAATCTGCCCTCTCTTCCAAACAGTGCCCTTTCTCGCCCTCCTCCACATTCCCCTTTCCCTTCTACTTTGCTGTAGGGTAGCATAGATTTCTGTATCCAGTTGAGTGTGTGTGTCTGTGTGTGTGTGCATGCATGCATGTTATTCCCTTTTTGAATCCTTTCAAATAAGAGTAAGGGTTAAGCATTCCTCACCAATTCCCTCATTTCCCTCTCTTCAGTAAAAGCTATTTTGTGTGTGTTTTATGTGAGATAATTTTTTCCATTCTGCCTTTCCCTTCTCCTTCTCCCAGTGCATTCCCCTTTCTTGTCCCTTAATATTATATTTTTTAGAGATCATCCTATTATATTCAACTCAAACATGTGTCCTCTTTCTTTGTATACTCCTTCTAACTGCCCTAATGAGAAGGTACTTAGGAGTTACAAATATCATCTACCCATGTAAAAATATAAATAGTTTAACCTTATTGAATCTCTTATGATTTCTCTTTCCTGTCTACATTTTTATGCTTTTGTTGATTCTTATATTTGAGTCATATTTTCTATTCAGCTCTGGTCTTTTCATCAAGAATGTTTGAAATTCCTCTGTTTCGTTGAATATCCATTTTTTTCCTTGAAGAATTATATTTAGTTTTGCTAGGTAGGTGATTCTTTGTTGTATTCCTATCTCCTTTAGCCTCATATTTCAGGCTCTGCAATCTTTTAATGTAGAAGCTGCTAAATCTTATATCATCCTGACTGTGGCTCCATGATATTTGAATTGTTTCTTTCTGGCTACTTGCAGTATTTTCTCCTTGACCAAAAACTCTGAAACTTGGCTTTACTGTTCCTTCATTTTGGGATCTCTTTCAGGAGGTGATTGGTGTATTCTTTTAATTTATATTTTACTCTGGTTCCAGAATATCAGGGCTGTTTTTCTTAATAATTTATTGAAAAATAACGCCTAGCATCTTTTTTTGATCATGGCTTTCAGGTAGTCCAATAATTCTTAAATTATCTCCTCTGGATCTGTTTTCTAGGTCAGCTCTTTTTCCAATGAGATAGTTCACATTTTCTTCTATTTTTTCCATTCTTTTGATTTTTTTTCTCTTGACATCCCCTGGAGTCATTAGCTTCTACTTTCCGAATTCTAATTTTTAAGGAATTATTTTCATCACAGAGCTTTTGGACCTCCTTTTCCATTTGGCCAGATCCATTTTTTAAGGAGTTCTTTTCTTCAGTGAATTTTTGTGCCTCTTTTATCATTTGGCCTATTCTGTTTTTTAAGGTGTTATTTTCTTCAGTACTTTTTTGTGCCTCATTTACCAAGCTATTGACTTCTTTTTTTCATGATTTTCTTGCATTATTTTCTCAATTTTTCCTATACCTCTCTTATTTGATTTTAAAATCCTTTTTGTGCTCTTCAGGAATTATTTTTGGGCCTAAGATGAATTCACATTTTGCTCTGAAGCTTTGGATACAACAGTTTTGACTTAATTTTTTTCTTCTGAGTTTGTGTTTTACTCTTCCCTGTCACCATAGCAACTTTCTGTGGTCAGGTTCTTTTTCTGTTGTTTGCTCATTTTTCCAGTCTATTTCTTGACTTATAACTCTAATTTAAAGTTGTTCTGTGCTCCCAAGGTTGAGGTGGCCCTGTTCCAAACTCTGGGCCTCTCTTGATGCTACTCCTAGAACTAGTTCTGGGTGTCTGTAAGTTTCGTTCTTCTAAGGTGATGTGATCTAAGAAGAGATGTGATTCCTTCTCTCCTGGCCTATGTTGTGGTCTGTGAGCAACCACAAGCACTTTTTTCCTTCTTGAAGCTGTGACCAGGTTACCTATTTCCCTGTGGCCTCAAGGTCTGGTATGCTAATGCTTCCCCCCACCCTGGGACTGCAACCTAAGACTGACA